TCTGTTGTACTTCGTTTCAGTTACGTATTGCTATTAGCAAATTGTGTTTGATAGAAAATAACAAATTTCTGGTGTATTATCACAGAATAGAAAATACGTAAAAATAAAGAAAATGTACAATTATTTTGTTAAATTCTCTTTTCTTTTAAATCTAAAATCTAATTTAAAATTTATTACAAGATTCTTCATAAATTTGTCTAGTTTATGAAAAATATCTACCGAAATACAAATTTAATTTTATGGTGTTTGAAATTCAGATTTTTACAACATTGGATATTACTCTATTTATCATTTAGCGATTTTCTTATGTTGTAATTAAAAATGAATAACTGTAGATACTAATATAATTTATACTATATATCTATTGTATCAATTCTATACTTGATACTATTTTCAAAAATTTTCACTTTTCTGAGCTGTTTGAACATTTTCAATTTTTCTATAGTTGTTGATAAATTATTAATTATAAATTTGTTGGGTCAAGCGCAATTTAATTCAAGGCTCACATATTGACACAATAACAGTTGAAAAATATAAAAATCAACGTGCACAAGTTTTTTTTATAAGTTTTTTATGTTTGAATTTTGAAAAAAAATTGTCAAATTTTAAATTATTTTCTAGTTACAAATATATATTATTATAATATATCATAGGCTGATTCTTCGTCTTCGTTAGGATTCGTTTTTCTTATACAATATTATATCACTAAATTCAAATTTAACACAATCCAGTAGGTATGTAGTGACTCACTTGTAATCTACTGTAAAGCAGAGCGACACCCACTTGGCTACCTTTTTTTACTTATACAGTTCAACTAATTTAAATTTTAAAAAATTCGTCTTGAATATCAATACGCTAATTTTATGGAACAATTGTCTATAATTAAAAAAAAAAATTGTTTAAATCGTATGTTTTCTAGCTGATGTGTGACAATTTTACAATATAATATGATGTAGTTCCATTTTGCGCAAAATATGATAGTAATAAGAATACGATTTATAACATCGAAAAATAAAATAATATTATTCTTTGACAAAATTATTATTTTCGTATTGACGTATTTGGCTATTTATAAACCGTGCGCGGCTACGATAAATAACCAGTTTTGACCATGATGCGGTACGGCTGCTTATGCAAGCGGGGTGGTGGAAGAAGTATTATTTCAGAACGCTGCCGCTATAATCGTTTAAGCAGCACATGACGACGGCAAATTCATAATTTTTTTGCCAAAACATGCTTTCGTACTTCCAATAGTACTCAGGCCTCGTTGATCGTAGAAACATGATTTTGGTATCAAAATAATCATGAGAAATTGTACTAAATATTCTTGGAACAGATTTTTGATATCTAAATTTGCCGATTTTATATAATTTTTTAAAAAAATGAAAATTTTACAAATTTCAAACACAAATAAAATTGGTTGGAAAAAATATTTTAAAATTCTGTTCCAAGAATATTTAGTACAACTTCTCGTGATTATTTTGATACCAAAATCATGTTTCTACGATCAACGAGGCCAGAGAACTATTGAAAGTACGAAAGCATGTTTTACGGTCGATTTTTTTCTACTATGACGCCCTCTTAATTGCTCAAAAAACAAAACCATACTCGATCATTAATTTTACCTTTATGTAGTGAAATTGTTAAAATAATGTTAGGTGATGAAGCATCAAATGAAATATCGAAAATTCCGTTATCTAATGATACGATTCGAAGAAGAATTATTGATATGTCAATGGATATAGAAGAAAATGTAAATAAAAATCTTATAAATACAAATTTTGCACTACAAATTGACGAGTCCACAGATATTAGTGGTAAAGCACAATTAATAGGATTTATTCGGTTTATTCATGACAATAAAATATCTAATCAATTTTTGTTCTGTAAAGAATTAATAAAACACACAAAAGTTCAAGATATTTTTGAAATTGTAAATTCATACTTCAAACAATCAAATATATCCTGGAAAATGTGCGTAGGAATTTGTACTGATGGAGCACCTTCTATGGTTGGATCTGTTAAAGGTTTTATTACATTTGCAAAACAAATTAATATAAATATAATTCATATTCATTCCTTCTTACATCGTGAGGCACTTATTGCTAAGACGTTACCACAAGAATTAAAAGCTGTACTAGATCAAACTATAACCATGGTTAATTATTGAGGCCATTGAAATCTCGTCTATTTAAACAACTATGTAATGCTATGGACGCAAAACATGAATGCTTACTATTACACACTGAGGTAAGATGGCTATCCAGAGGAAAAGTGTTAATGCGAGTATTTGAACTAAAAGAAGAGTTACTAGAATTTTATAGCACAGAAGGAAACATAACATTTTGTGAACTTCTTAAAAATGAAAAATGGTGTGCTATGTTAGCATATTTAGCAGATATATTTAATTATATTAACAGTGTTAATACTAACATGCAAGGACGCGAAGAAAATATTTTAACTTCTACTGATAAGCTTTTAGCTTTTCAAAAAAAAATTGTCATGTGGAAAAGGAAAGTTACTGAAAATAATTTCGAAATGTTTCCATTGGTACCAAATAATGCTACAAGAACATTGGCTCCTGTCATTTCAGAACATTTAATTTCATTGGAAGATAAAATCAACAAATATTTACCAGAAATAGAAATAATGAACTACGATTGGATACGAAATCCTTTTTCATCGTTGTGTACTTCTAGTTTTAACTTAACATTTCAAGAAGAAGAAGAACTTATATCTATTTCTGCTGATCGTAGTCTTAAAATTAAATTTTCTGAAGAACCGGTTGAAGACTTTTGGATATCAATGAAAGAACAATTTTCAAAAATATCTGAAAAAGCTTTAATAATTTTGTTGCGATTTTCTTCTTCATACCTTTGCGAGTTAGGATTTTCTACGCTAACAAATATTAAAACTAAGAAAAGAGAAAAACTTCTAGGAGTAGAAGAGGAAATAAGAGTAGCACTGTCGTCTATTCGTCCTCGTATCAGTCTAATTACAAAAAACAAACAAAGCCAAATATCACATTAAACATTACATTTTTAAGTATATAATATATTATTAATAAAAGATTAAATAAAATTAAAATGCCTTTTTTTGTTTCTTATTACTTTATTACTATAGTGTTCCGTCAAAATGTATGGTTATAAGAAATGTACCGTGAGAATAAAAAGGTTGAGAACCACTGAGTTAGAGACTAGGAACCAAGCAAAAAATCAAAGGTGGTTTGAGGAACGAAGAAAACGATTATCAGCATCAAATTTTGGAAGGGTGTGCAAAATGAGACCTTACACTTCATGTAAAGTAACTGTACATAATATACTATATGGTTGTATAAGCACCAGTGCTACAGAATATGGTATTCAAACTGAAAAACAAGCACTTATGCAACTACAAATGGAAATTAAAAAAAAAATTAATAAATGTGGTCTATTCGTCGACAAAAATATTCCATTTTTGGCAGCAACTCCAGGTGAGATTGTTTATAATTTAGTTTATTATAGAGTTTAATTTAATGTTATGGAAAATATTTTATTAAAATTAATTAATTAATTAATTTTATTAAATTAATATATTAATTTGAGCCTTTATGAATACATATTTTATACCTTGGATCATCATCGATTTCACATACTCTATTGGATATATAACTAAATAAATATTTTTCAATTGCAGATGGTTTAATAGAAGACGATTAATTATGTGAAATTAAATGCCCTTATTCTGTTAAAGATTATTGTAGTCTAGAAAAAGCTATTTCGGACAAAAAGGTAATGTATATGCATTTATTAAAACTTTAATAATTAACGGATTAGAATAATATAAATAATTTATTCTTTGGAAATAACTATAAAACAAATATTAATTATTATGTAATATACATTTATATATTCCCATTTCAGCTTCCTTATATGAAAATTAAAAATAATTTACCAACTTTGAAAGAAGATAGTCATTATTTTTACCAGATCCAAGGCCAATTACATGTGACTGAACGTAACATTTGTTAAAAATACACTTCAAAATGGAATCACTTAGAAATAATAAAATATGATGACGAATTTTGGTCCTCAAAAATGGAATCAAGCCTAAAATTGTAAGTTGTACTTACAGAATAATTATGGTCTATTCGTCTTTATTCAATAAAGTCTATTGAATATTTATTAATAAATACGTCTATTGGTTTATAAAATATTAATTTATCTGTATTTTAAAATTTAATTATATTTTTTTAATTTAGATTTTACGAAGAGTGTTTGTTAAGAGAGCTAATTGACCCTCAGTTCATTAAACGTATGTTGAAAAATGATATAATTGAACCTCCACATATCATACAAAATATTGAAGAATTCAACAAAAAAAAAACAAAAATCAATAATTAATCAATACTAAATTCTAAAATTCAAATCTTTATCATCTTTATTTATTTCGTTAAAAATAAAAATAAATTAAATTATTTCTAATAAATTACGCTGTATTTATTTATTTTATTTAGATATTAAAAACTATATTTTACTATAGCCTATAGGTAGGTATTAGGTATATTTCAATAAGTAATAATGTAATAAATACAAATCAAGCTATGTTATAATAAAGTTTATACGATCTTTATATTGGTACATATATTTAGATAAGCAGTGACTTAAATTATAATCGTTAGTTTTTAGGTACGCGCGGAGATTTAAAATATTACGGCAGTAATTGGACGGAGTTCATGTAAAGGGGGACAAGTCATTTTTTGACATTTTCGGTTTATGTGTTAATTTTGTAGGAAATTTCACGCCGGATCTGATGGTCACACTGTAGTTTGCACGTGATCATTTGTTACCAAGTTATTTCTAGATGCGTTTGGGGATAAGTCAAAACGGTGACGTGCATAAGGGGACAAGTCATTTTATTTTTTTTTAAATACATTTTATTTACGTAAGTGTTAACTATTTTTACGATCGTCATACATATTAGTATATTACAATGTCAAAAAGAGTACGACGTATGGTTTGTCTGGCCAGTGGTAAGTAATAATTGTTGATAATTATGTTATTTATTATTACCTATATTAATACATTGACATCAATAATGAAACAATATGAAGTATGTTAATTAATATTCATTCTCATTTTCATTTTACTTAAGAAACTAATAAAATTCAAGAAATTACCACATCAGTCAAAAGAAAACTTCTGTTTACAAATGAAAATAATTCAAATCCTAAACAGCAACATGTACAAGTAAAATATTTTTTCTTCTACTTACTTTATTCATTGTTATAATGTACTGCATTGTGTATTAAAAAAAACTAAGACATTAAAAAATTAATAAGTGATTATTATAAATTGTACCCATCAGTACCCTAGCTATTACTCATGAATCATGATATACTATATGACTTGGATGTATTTTTATAAATATTTGTTTTCTATTGTACCTATTTATGTTTTTACAGGGATGGGTGAATCATAATGATCCATCCTATATTTTAAATGAAGTTAATCCATATTATAATGTATGTTATATTATTAATTATTAAAATAATTAAATACTTAATTTTAGTTGAAACATTGTATTTATTTCACTTATTAGGGTATCGATAAATCAAATAGTGTAGTCAACATTAATGGAGATGATCATACAATAGTATTTGAAAACCATTCTAAAGACATTCTACATGAGGTAAACATAGTACCCTATGGCTCTTAGTTAAAAAAATGAATTGATTGTAATCAATGTTTAGTGTATGCGCGCCAGTACCGTGCCCTCTGTTTCACACTGGCGCACGAATCATTAACAGGGGTAAAGGCTAGGCAACTTAATATTGCCGGTATTTCACCTGGCTTAGGTAGGCCGTACACGACAACGGCGACGACAACCGAGGAAAACAAACACTTAAACACAAAGGTAAGCAGGGAAAAGAGTTTATTTTAATAGGGGGGAGCTCCCGGTGATCGGAATCGGTCTGGTGCAATGATCACCGAGATTACACAAATCAGGCTAATCCTTAAACTAGGTACTTAAAACGATGATGATGATGAAGCTGATCGTGTTTGTTGGAATTGGACCGGACTCGACGACCTGGGCGGCCTCTCACACACCACGGCAGATGCTGGCGGTCTTACGCAGCGATGGAAGATGACACCAAGCTCGATCCCAGGCGATGATGGAATTCGTGCACAACGTACACGTCAACAGGAACGTATATAATTATAAATAAATAAACTCACGTTGGTTGCCGGTAGTGATGGTGGTAACTTATTATTAGGGCCCGGATTCCAATGCAAAATGCATCATTTTTTGATTAATCCTAGACAATGCTTTCCAAGTTTATAATTTGATTCATGTAACAGAGACTTCAAAGGTGAAATTTTTATTTTGCATTTTTTTGCTTTTTTTTGCATATTTCAATATTTTTTCATTTTTAGAACATATTTTAGCTTTTTTCGGTCATTTTTTCGTTTTTAATGCATATTTGTATAATATACAAGTATAATATATAGACATATAGTATTTATACATTTTACTGCCAAAGATTAAATATACTAGCAGTATTAAATCTCTGATACAATATTCTTTACTCTATGGATACAACTTAATAATCTAAATATAGGTAATTCAAAATATTACTCGTGTTTTTCGGGGTTTTTCTTACAATTTATAAACCAGAACTATACAGTATACATACAATATTGTCTATCTTATCTTTATTTATAATCGCTCGGACTTGGCAAATAATAAAATATAATATTATTAATCGGTTAGTTCGTGTCACGTCGTGGTCGCGTTTATTTTGTTTTTCGTTGTGTTAATTCGTTCGTTTGTACAATGCCTAAAATAAAAGAATCTACTTCTTCGCGCTTGAGTGGCTACGTAAATAAATTTGGTAGAGACGTATTTACAACAGATGGGACTATTTTACTCTGTAAAATTTGTAACATTAAAGTTGCGGCTGAAAAAAAATTTTCAATTCAGCAACATATTTCAAGAGAAAAACATATTAATGGATTAAAATTGATGAAAAAAAAAAATGAAAAACCTCAACAACTCTTAAATAACGTATTAAACAATGATAAAACAAACATTTTTAATAAAGAACTTTGCATGGCTATGCTATCTGCGAATATTCCATTCAATAAACTGAAGAACAAGTTACTTAGTAATTTTTTAGAAAAACATACA